CTAAATTAGAAATATCTAAGCAACTGGACTGGACTATTCCAGAGAAGGCAGAGTACTGCTCACCCTGATCTATCATTTAATATCCATGGAATCCTTAAGCCTCTCTACTGAAAACTTCTACCGGACACTGAAATCTGTGATGCTTACCTCTCCACTGGCTCAAGGTGGAGGAAACCAGTGCCCTCTCTTGACACGTGGTCATCAAGCATGTGACAGCCCAGAGCTCCTGTGCACAGGCCACACTGCTTCCTAATCAACCTGCACCAAAGGCCTGCGTCAGACTAGGACTTCTGTAAACCCAGTACCGGTTCCTCATTAATTGATGAGTTCAACTTTTACTATCAATTTATCTTCAGTAACTCAGTTTCACTTGTCTGTGATTCATTATCCTTTAAAAAGAAACACTGATGAATTACAAAAGAAAGAAAAGAAATATTTTGCAAGGTGAATACTACTACCACCTAGGGTGACAGCAGGTAAGGGCTTCTGTTACTAGAAAGCAACGTTGCTCTGTCAGATCCTGCTCTACAGCGTACTCTGATGATACCATTGACTGGTGAAGCCCCTGGCATGCATGAGGGCCCATGACAGCCCAAGGTCTGCAGGGCCTGAGGCCTGGTGGGGCCTTTAACACTGGCCACTGACACAGAGCCCAGCTGTACGAGCAGATGGGCTCTGAGCACATTCCTATGGCTTCCACCTTCACATCACACCACATGACCACAGCACGATGGAGTATCTTGGGGTGACTCTCACTGATCTTTCATTAAGAGGAACATTACCATACTGTGATTGAATGAAACAACTCTTCCATTTCAATCAAGTGACAAACCCGCATGCATGGGTGTTTAGGGTAAAAGCAATGTCAGAGACTGTTCCGTGCCTGCTCTTGCTCTGGGCACTGTGCTGTAACTACACACACATCATAGAGTAATGCTTCCTAAAAAAGGCAAATTAGCTTGGAGAGTGCAGCATGTGGGGGAACCACAGATGCACTGAACCAGGGGCCACTGCACAGACATGCACTGGATACAGGTGGTGACAGGCCAGAGCATGGAGACTCAGAACTGGGAGCTCCGCTCTGAAAACAAAGGAATTATTTACTATACACACTTGGTTTTGTTGTTGGAGAAGAGAGGGGAGAACAGCAGAGAGAGGAGAGGGGAGGAAAACAGCGGAGAGAAAAGAGAACGGGAAAGAGAAAGTACACAATGACCCAGAAAGGAGGACCACATGGAAACAAGACAAGCACCAAACAGTTCTGAGTAGCCACAGATTTTCAAGAACCACTAAAAGCTGCTAGGGTGACCACCTGTGGGCCCTATGGCCTCCTGCTTGTAAACAGCAAGTCTGAAATCTCCTACTTACTAAGAGTATATAGTATACTTACTATATACTAAGAGTTTATAGGAGACTTGTGGACAAGATCAGAGCACTTAAACTACAATAATGACCACGGGTCATTTTTACCAGCTGGCTAGGACAGACACATAAGTGTGGGTTTGTCCATGATAAACACCAAGGTTTGCACTCTCCTAGAGATACAACACCCAGGCTTGAATGGGCTGACTGCTGTCTGTGCGGGGGAACAGAGTAAGTCCATTCAGTGCCATAAAGTATATATGAATTCATTATCATCAACACCTTCTGGCCTGGGTCATGTTCCCAATAAGGAGATGACATTCCATTCCCCCTAGATAGTGATTCTTTTGGAGAAGCTGGTTACAGTGGGACTCCTAGAGGAGCCCATGACCCTGCCCAGGCAAAAACAAATGAAACTGTCACACCACCAACACACACCAGCCACAGGCACTACTGCAAACATCCAGAAGGATGTCACCTGAAAAGCTGTACTCTTGTGCCTGGCACTTTTTCCCTTTCTTTGCTTCCTCGCTGCCATGACTTGAGTGTAAGGGTCTACTAGAACCTTCCAACACACTGTTTCTGACTTAGAACTAGCCCACCATGAACTGAACCAACTGAAACTGTGAGACAAAATAAACCTCTCCTTCTTTAAATTGTGGGCTTCAGGTATTTTGACCCAGAGACAGGAAAGCTGACTGTCACATGATCATCTTCACTGACAATCAGATGAGGTAATGGTTAACCACAGTAAAGAGTCAACATTCCAAAAAATACATATTGTGAAGAAGAAAATAGAATACTGAGTTTGCATTTCCACTTGGGGGGATCTGTAACTCTGAGGTCCATATTACCTCCTCATTCATTTGCCTCATGGAAGGCAGCTGATGTTCTCCTGGTCCTGGTTAGATTTTACTTGTATTCCACCCTCCCAAGGATTCTGACATTGTTCCAGTTGCTGAGAAAAAGTCTGGTGCCTTCTGTCAGGCATATGGGTAATTTCTGTCAACTTCCCCCTCCTGACCTCCTGTCTGAATGTGTCTCCTTGTCTTCTATTCAGATGGTCTGTTGGAATCTCCATGTGTCCCTGTGGATTTCATCCGGGCCAGGAGGAAGACACCAGCAGGGTGACTGGAGAGGGGTTTGGTGTCCTCCCATAGGAGTGACCAGTGAGGAACTGTCAAACAAAAACTGACCTGTGGACACTGACTAAAACACAACTTTGAACAGGGATGAGCGCAAGTCAGAGCCAGGCTATGACATGCTGTCTTTAGAAATGAAGAGGCAAAAAGACCGCAGTAGACCCGGGGTCCACCATTTCTGGAAATACTTTGAGCACATCAGGCATTCTTTGTATGGAATGAAGATTTGTTCACGTTCAAGCAATTGTTTTGTCACCTTTGAAAAGCTCAAGTTAGAGCATGTCTCCTCCTTAAACAGGGCCCCCGGGAGGAGGAGACAATCACAAAGCACAATCACCAGCAGCACAATCACAAAGCTCACTTCCTGCTACCACTCTTTGCTACACAGACTGAGAATGGAGGGCGGGCAGGTGAGAGTGGACTGATCCACTGATAGGTTGATCACAGGTTTCACACACTTTTGTCCCTTTCAAACAGTAAGGGAAATAACACTTTTTTCAGATTCCTAATGTTTTTCCTTAGCAAAGGTACCCACAACTCATAAAGTAAGATGACCCAATTACAGCAGACAGATTGACAGATGGTGGCACATGCCTGTAATCCCAGGACTCAGGAGGCTGAGGCAGGAGGGTTGTTGCAAGTTCAAAATCAGCCTAGACTGTGAGTTCAAGGCCAACCTAGAATATACAGCAAGACTCTGTCCCAAAGTATAAATAAATAAACAGGCTGGATTTAAACTGCCTCCCATGTGTCTTAATTAAACAAAATAAAATTTGGGAAAAGATGACGTAGAGAAGAATACTGGAGGTTTAAAATATCTTAGGCCAGGTATGTAGCTCAGTGGTGCTGCACCTGCCTGGCAAGCACAAGGCCCTGAGTTCAATTCCTGGTACCAGCAAAAAAAATAAAGAAAGAAAGAAAAGATCTTAGAAGGTAAGGGTGCTGCTTTTGTCCATCTATTTATATAAAGACTCCCAGCAGTCGCACCATAAACAAATTTTTGATATTTATAGGGAATACTTTCTCACATATGAGAAAAACTCTCTCGATGTATGTATGTATATGAATATGTATATGTATACATATATGTGTTAGTCTATGATAGAAAAATAAGAGGTGGATTTTTTTTCAAATGGATGGGGGAACAAGCAATGGAGGGAGGAGGGTGGATGGAAGAAAAGGAGACAGATAAAAATGAATTTAAGGGAAAAATCATGATGGAAATAGAGCTTTTGCAAATGGTAATGAGACCAAGAGTTAGAGGGAACAGGGAGAGAGGGGAGGAGGAGAGAATGGAAAAGAAAGGAGAACTAAGATGTACCAACTCCCCACAATAAATGCCATCAATACGAAAACATGCACTAATACATTTTAAAATGTAATAATTACAAATAATAATCACAGGGAGCGGGCATCGGCTCCACTGTGCACCCTTCCAGCCTGGCAGGAAGAGACATGCCCACCTGCATTCCCTGCATGCCCACTGTCCACTCAGCATGGGCACACACCCAAAATTTTGAAATTATAACACATTAAAAGTTCAGTGATTTCAACAGCAAGATACTCTCTGTAGAAAAGTTTCAGAGTCTATAACAACTAGAATAAGTCAAATCCTATGCCTGAAAAAGCAACAAAATGAAAAGCAAAAATAATCTAGGAAAAAAAAACATTGTAAATACAAAAAAAAAATTTTAAGTGAAATGAGTAAGCAAAACATGAGTCCAAAAGATAGAGTTAAAGGACATAAATAAGTGGTTTGAAGTGAAAACTTCAGTTTCACTTGTATAATCTTACTAGAACTCAAAGACTACGTTACAACAGTGAGCTACTCATTGTTGATACTGAACCTGATGGAGCAGGCAATTATTAACAACCAAAGGTGAAAAGAAGATGGGCAAAGGGACTCTGAGATATCTGTCCACATTAGAGATCTTCTGGTCACGTGACTAATTATCTGCCTTAAGAAAACAAACCCAGATGCAAAAATCATTGTACACATAGTGATGTACTTCAAAACATTACTTACCACACCAAAGTCCTGGAAATAATCTAAATGCTCACTGTAAATGGTACCACAATCCCACAATCCAAAAAGAAAAAGTGTTCAAACCTAATTCCTCACTTCATTCTGTGAAGAAAGAACTGGTCTAGAGGACAGCTTCATCCTCTACCTCCTCCTGCCTGACCCAGGCTGCAGAAAGGAGGAAGGAAAGAAGGACTACATTGATACAACACATTATCCAGTGAAAATGGCAAGTTAACAAAACACTTAACAGTTACACAAAGACAGTGCCCTTTGAACCCAAGATTCAATCTTAAAGAGACAAAGTTGAATCATATTCCCAAATACTCAAGTTTAATTAATATTTAACTATTATGTAGCATTAGATACGATAAAATCTTACCAACATTAAGTCTTCCAGATACAAAAGATATTTGTAGGCACTGTAGGCAACAGAGAAAACAAGACCTGCCCACCACCCCAGGAGACCATACCTGGGGGCCCGCCGGGTTGAAGGACACTGCAGAGACGGTGTCCGTGTGTCCTGCCAGACAGCAGCAGAAAGCACTGGAGCCCAGCTCATACAGGTAGGCCTAGAAGACAAGACGACAGGGATTCTGGGTAGACTAGAGCCATGATAAGCTCCTAATCACAAGAGAAGTGTTTCTCCAGCTGAGCATTTATCATGGGGCCCATTAGGCCACCTGATACAGGGCCAGTCATGTCCAGTATCAGTTCTGCCATGCAGGCATGCAAACCTTACCCTAAAGTCTTAAAGAAGAAAATTGTGTTGTAGTGTTTTTCCAATGAAATTGAGAGAGAACTGGTTACGCTATGCTTGGTTTCCAACTAGTCAGCTTAGAATTTCAGCAACTCAAATAGATTTCTATAACTACTGATTTAAAATTTCCTTTTGATATAGTTACGATATATTACATATGCCTAAGCTAGTTGTACATCACATACCCAGAGTTGCCAGCAAATACTTCATTTTAGGGGAAAATAACCCCATATCAGGTTCCATCCTGATGGGATGAGATTTGAGGTAATTGTTAACAAACTGTACTGTGTGCATGTTATGAAAGACCACTGGTAATAAGGAGACATGCCAAGGTGCTCTAGGAGGACCTCAGAGGTGAGTCCTGCCCCCACATAGTCCACTTTAATGTAAGGAAAAGTCCTTCAAATCTAAACCTCCTCAATGATTTTGTCAGTGGCTAAGCAGTGGTTTTGAAGTATAGACAACAAACAGGCTTCTGACATATTTCTAAGGTGTGTAGCAAAGTAAAATGTCTACTTTTCCCATGCAAGCTGTTCATTTGGAAAGTCCACGCTTGCTTGCCTCTGAAGTTTTCAGGGACTGCTACCATAGGTCTGACCATCCAGGGAAGGTGGGTCCCTGACTGGCCACAGCCAGGTGAGCACTGGGCCAGGGTATACCACAAGTCCACAAGCCAAGGACAACTCAGGGAGAAGTGGGGTCCCAGGGCAGCTCATCACAGCGCACGGAGCCTTCACAATCTGCACAAACACAGCCAAAGGCACTGGAGGGGACCACCAGCAACCACACTGCTGTCAGAGGCAAAGTGACCTGTGTGCCTCATGAATTGCTCTGCCATTTCTCTTGCCAGGTACCACCCATAAAAGAGAGGGCCTGACACAATTTCAGACGACCCCTTGCCTGGTTCACTACCAGCCTGTCAGGGCTGATCCACAAGGGACAGCAAGCAAGTGAAGGAGGATAGTTGACTGGGCCACGGTCATTTCTGATGCCAAGGACGGGGTCAAGGACAGTGCTGCTTCCCACTGGGTACTGGGCTCACTGCTATACTTGCTCTTCCTCCCTGTAGCCCCGCAGAGAAAACAGACTGCTGACTAAGGACACAAGACCACGGCTGAGGGGCAGCAGCTTCTCAAGGCCACATAGTGGCCAGGACTCAACCCACAGTAGTGTACTCCATGGCTCTGAGCCTTTGCCCCACACAGCAACACATCCTCCCTGTCCTGCGCTTTGTCACTTGTCACCCTGCTGCTCTCTGTGCATGTGTGTGTGTTCCATACACCTTGAGTCTCCTTGTTAAGAAAACTGCTTTGGAAACATACTTGCAAGTTTCCAGGCAAGTTCAACATACAGACCTTAAGACCAAGAATCCTACTCCTAAGGATTTCACAAGAGAAATGACACATGTATCCATACAAAGATGTGCAAAAAATCCATGAAGATTTTATTCATACAAGTTAAACACACAACCTCTTCATGCTCTATACAGAAATTAGATGACTATAAAAATTACAGCTAAATAAAGTGAGGAATACACAGACACTGTGAGCATGCACAACATGGCCTGTGAACACCAGGATGCTGACAGCAAAGACACAGCTTCCTGACCCTCTGATGTCCCCAGTGCAGCAAGAGGGCCAGAACCTGGAGCCTGGGGGGCAGTGGTGCACGTCTGAGGCACAGTCCTAGGGAGATGGCTTTCCTTTCCCAACATGCTCATGTGTAGGGAGACAGGTCGCAGAGATGTCCTCCAAGAAAGGGCTATGACTGGAGGGAATTAGACATCCCTTTCACTTGGACTCACGAGAGAACTGAAACCAGGAAATGGTGGTATTTTCAACAAAAGCTGAGCAGTAGGTGTTGGAATAGTCAAAGAAGCAAAGGCACAAAGAGAACCATGCCTCAGAGGAGCCAGGAGGAGACCTCCATTAAGAGCAGGCTCTGGCCAGGGCAGTAAGGAGGTCAGCACCAGAGACTGAGGAGGATTTCTGATCTGTGTGAGACACCCAACTGCGAAGTACATGCTTTACAAGTTGACATCTTATGTGTTGCTCTTAGACTCAAAGGAAGTCTTGAGTGGCCTGTAGTCTCACAGAAAAGGACTAAGAAGGAAGGAGTAAGAGTCTGACCTCCAGCAGGACCTAGGCTGGTTCAGGGGGATGGGAAGAGGCCAGATGCATGATTGGCTGAGGAGAGAGAGCAGCTCTTGCTGAAGGCCCCAAAAAGATACTGAGGGGTAGGAAGGTGAGTATGGGGCAGAGAAGCAGAAAGAGAGAAAACCCTATGAATTAGAAGGCAGATTTGGAGGTTTGAGTTTTGTTATTATTAAACCACCTTCTATTATATAACTATCTTTTGTTGAAAATCCCATCTAGATTATTCACTGTGCTTTTATCTAATCCTAAGTGGGAATCAATATTAGCCTTATTGCATGAAATCTCAAGATGTACATGATGCCCTGATATTTTCAGGAAGGCTCTACAAAGGAGGTATCCATTCCTTGAATGGCAATGGGATTACATAAAGCACACCTTATGACCCAGAAAGTTCTTGAGGTACATGAATTTGAAGACATAGCAACTTTAAGTGGTGAGATACCAAAATTGCAGTTAGAGTCCCAAGGAAGTCAGAATGCAACCAGAGAAAGAGCCAGCAGCACAAAAATGGGCAATCTCTCCCCCATCACCCTCCCAAACACCAGAAAACAATTGTGTCCCTGTGGATCGTGCCCAACAACCTCTCCTTAGCATCAACAAGGGAAGCTCGCCACCTTAGGCAGAGAGAGGCCAAACACCATGAGCCTTGCAGAACTTGTTGGCAGGGAGTACAGATCCCATCCTTGGAGACATGGAGGAGTGCGAAAAATTCAGCAAAGCTGGACCAAAGCAGGAACTTTCCCAGAGTTTCTTCAAATGTCAGAAAGATCTGAGACAATGTGAAGTCCTACTCACTGCCCACTGTCCCACAGGCAGAAAAGGCCTTCTGCCAACCCTGAAAACTGTAACAAATTCCACTGGGCAGAAAGTAGAGCTCTTGAGATAGGAACCAGGGTTGGATAAAGGACTGGGGGCAAAAGAACAGAAAACAGTACCTGGATCAGAGGACTTCTGGCAATATACTGGGCAGAGCCCCTGAAAGAGAGGCTATGGAGACAACCACAGGATTTGCCCTGCAGTGAAGGGAGCAGGAGTAGGAGGTCTGTGGCAGAAGTTGACAGAGAACCAGGTGTGGGGAAAACTACACCTCATCTTTCTCCTCCTGAAATAACTGAGGTGGGCAGATCTTAAGACACAGACAAAGGTCTGTAGTTATCTATGGCCAGAACATGGGTTGAAGCCAGTAGGCTGGTCCAGAGAGATCAACAGCCCTCACTGCTCCTCGGCAGACAATTAAGCAGGCCACGGAGGGAAACCAGCGTAAGTATCTGCAATCACCCTGTAACTACGGCATGAAGGGAGGTGTGTAGACGCCTGACTACAGTATAGCAACTGTGTGATGGTTTTTTGTTTGTGTCCTTGCCTATTTATCTGTTCTGGGTTTTCTGTTTGTCTGTATTTCTTCTTCAGAGGTTGTTTCTTCATTACCATATTTTTTAATTTTTAAAGGTTTTTCCTTTTAATCTGTTCTGTGTTTTAGCTTTGTCTGTCTTCTCTTTTTTAACTTTCTTTCCTTCCTATTTTTCTTTATTGTTCTTCATTTCCCTATCTCCATTATTCCCTCTCTTCTTCTCTACCTTTCATATGATATATGATTTCATATGATTCATTCACACACACATACACACACACACACACACACACACATATACACAGGTGTGTGTATATACAAAAGACAGTAAGAATTGACAGTGCATTAACTTGAATGGTAACCTTCATGGCCATCTCAGGGTAACCTAAAATAAAACTGTTTAAAGAATCCAAATGAAACAGATTGCAAATAAACAGGTTCCAACAACCTCACAGTTTCCATCAATCTCTAATTGCACTTCCCCCATTCTCATCCCTCCTCCTGTCTCCACAAATACCCTCTCAAACCCCCTCAAAACTAGCCATTTACTCCAGCTAGAAAAGTACTCCAACAGAGGCAAGCCTCCTACTTTGCACCTGAAGACATTTCTCTTATCTTCCTCTTTTTGTACTCTGACCCTTCCTTTTCCTTGTTCCTTCCAGCTCCCTCCATATTCTAAACCAACCACAAGTATCAGTAGAATACAGTCTTTTGGGGGCTGGAATGGAATGTCACAGGGGCACTGATAAAAGGGTGAAATTGTCAAAACAAACTTTAACGTTTAAGACTGATGTATAGTTGGATCTGTGGATGCTGTTATAACCAGTAGGAATTCTCTCCTTAAAACACAATGGCTGAGTCCAACCCAACTGAACTGAAGACGATGAGGGAGCAGACAATATTTCTTGACAAATATTTCCAAGATTGCAATACTGGAAAACAGAAGCGAAATAAAGAGATATTCCAACAATAAAGTCTCTTCATTGTATTTTAACTCAAAGCTTAGTGCACACACATAAAAAAGGAAAATAGGAACATGAAAAAACAAGGCAGAAAAATGCTTTCAAAGGCTCTCAACACCTCCAAAGCAGGTCAAAGAGGCACCAATGAAGAGGAAATAAAACACTAAATATATGACTTGTACAAAATGAACAGAGGAAGCAAAGAAGTGCTGCAAGCTCAAGGATGATGTAACCAAATGGATAGAGGAATTAACAAAGGTGAGTCAAATAAAAAATTATAAGCGCTAACCAAAACCCGTCAAAACACGAATGACAAATTAACAGAGAAATACAGTGCATTAAA